TTTAAAAAAGTCAAACTCAAATAGCTAATCGTACTTGTCGATCAACAAATAAAATCGAACATGTTTGCAATCAACTCTGTACGAGTTTTCTCTTTGTCTAGGAAATGATGTCGAATTAATTATTGGAGGCGAAAGAAAAAAAATAAATGAAATTGGATAACGGACTGTGGAATGAGACGAATCGAATTAAATGGCCTACTGGAAAAGTTTGTGTCAAACTTAATTATCCAGCTCATTTAATATTTGTCAAGTCAACCCATTAAAAATTTAAAGACAAGAGTATGTTGGGCCACATTATAAACTCAATTGCTAAAAATCTAATAAGGTCACAATTGTCATTTGACAATAAAAGATTATCTTTTTTCCTCACTATAATCATCATTTTTCCACCATTGTTGTCAGATAACAAAAATTAACATGAAGATAATCTTGAGTCATTCAACTAAAAATTAAATGGGGCTATATAAAAAATTACATGGGGCTAATGGGTCTATGTATAAATTTTTTTAAAAAATAAAATTAGCAAAAATAAGGGTAGCAAAAAATTACATGGGGCTGGAGCCCACCCTAGCCTTAGGGTGGCTCCGCCCCTGGTCTGCCCCACCATATTCCCGTGCGCCTGGCCATGTCTTCTTATTCCTCCGGTTGGCCACCCTACAGCGCCGCAGACGCTCGCTGCCGCCGCACACGTTGACGTACGGTCGGAGCACCGACGTCCTGCAAAAAGTGGAGCTTCTATCAGAAAACTCACACCGTTCGTACTTCCGGCCACCCCGCACAGACCTGCCGCGACCTGCGGAGAAGCTCGCCACCGACGCTCGCAGCCGCTGCCGTACGATCTGAGCACGACCTTCCCCCGGAAACTGAATTCGTGAATTAAATGACTTTTTTTAATTGATTGCAATTTGAAGATGAAATTTTTGTTACAGCAATATGAACATCTGCAGACAGTATGGAGAAGGCATTTAAGGGAGTATTATCTTGAGATGTGTGTTGGAAATATTTAAAATTCAATTTCAAATAGGGACAACAGTAAATGTCTAATTAATATGAACAATAGTAAATGTCTAATTAATATGTATGAGGTTCAAGCTACACGTGCAATTGGCTTGGTCAAAAGTCCAACCCATCCAAAATATTGGTTT